CATTGTAATTTTTTCTGGGAGTCACATGCAAACCCTCTTCTATCATATGAATAGTTAAACAGGGTTTTGCCAGGAAGACTTGGGTAAAGGGGAATATAATTCATTAAACAACTGATTAAAGCATTACAAACTGGTACTATTCCTTTTCTGTTCATTGTTGTTCCACCACTTTGTACTTTGTGTCTATAGAGGGCTGGGGATCTGATAATTCTTGAAATAGTCTTTAGATTCTATGAGAAATCATAAACCAGGTAACTGCACCAGCAAACTGGGCAGATGGTGATGGCATGGATTTGCCCATTTGAGACACAAAAATCAGGTTTCTAGTTGAGGTAGTTTCTGGGCAGTACATCAAAGGTGACAACCCTAATGTTAGTCTCTGAATACCATCTATTTTGTAGATGTTAGTCTACTTGTCTTATTCAACAGTCCAATGTTCTGGCTAAGGACATTACTCACTAAAGGAGCAGTGCTATCTGCTTTAGTGAAGCAATTCCTCATAAGATAAGGTGATACCATCAAAAATAATAACAACTGGATGAACTTTTGAACTGTTTTTAGTGTGCAGAGAGTAGCCTCTAATAAGACAAGACTGTTTTAGTTCCTGGTGATTGGCAAGATGGAAAGAAAGACAACTTAGTTTTTTTTTCAAAATTTTTATTTTTTCCAGAAGGCCCTCTGCAGGTACCAATGGCATAGCTAGACCAATTGTAGTAGGGGTGGAATGACCTTACCTGGGAGTCTGGATGAGGTCAAGGAAGAGTCCATGGCCCTCCCCAGATAATTTTGGAAATATTATTATTATTAAATAATGTACATATGAAACAATACAAAAATATTCAAAATTTAAATGTTAAAAATTCATTATTTATATTTTTTAGATAAATATGTAAATAGGATTTTGTCATTTGAAAAAGTGGCAAAATCCTATTTATATAGTAAAAAAATATATAAGTTTAAAAAAAATAATATTATACTCATGTATATTGAAAATTAAAAAAAATTATAAAAATTAAAAGCTTAACAGTTGAATAAAATTCATATATAAACTAATACAAAAGTCAATAAAACTCTTTATTGAAGTTGCTGTCTAAGTCTTAGTTTTCTGATTTTTCTACTTATCAAACTTTTAGACAGTGTGACATTAATTCAGTATGAAAACAATTCTTTGTCACCAAAATAACTTTTTACAATTTAACCTATCATTCTTCATTGAAGTGGTCTTCAAATGTAATATTTCATTTCATTAATAATTTTTTAAAATTTAGTTGTTAAACTCCATATAAGCAATATGTGTTTTTTCGTACGGCATGTAGAATATCTTGTATAGTATCCTCCGATCTTAGGGCTGCAATTTGAGCAGCAACATGTATTGCCATTCCAGGGTGAGACCCTTTCACACTTTTAATAGTCTGTAAATAAAACAAAAATAATATAATTAATATTTCCCTTTTTATTTCCCCCCCTTTTTTTTTTATTTCTCAAAAAGACACTGTGGCCAGGTTGGCCTTTTACAAGCATCTTAAAGCAAAAACCAACAAAACCAAAGAGTTTCCTAAATAACATTATATAAGTATTTTTTCATCTAAAAACAATCAATTTAGAACAATACCAACAACATTTACTCTTGATAAATATTTTCAAGCCAATCTTTTTTCCATCTCTTCCATTTACCAGCACATATTATTCATAACAGGACTGCATTAAGTCCCAATTATTCATCCATTTGGCTTATCTCACTGAAGATCAAAGTTTTTATAATAAATCTATATACTACTAAAAGTCTGAAATTGTTTGGTTGGTTATAATTAAATACAAAAAAAATGGCACAAAATATTACCAATTTTTAAAGAATCCTATACTCCAAATGTGAACAGAAACAAAATAAAATAAATTTTGTTAAAATTGGGTGACAGATTACTGAGTTATCACTGTTTTTTTCTACTAACGATGTCATTCTGTGGGACGTCACTTTCTATAGTTGCCAATTACTGTCTTATAACTATACTTAAATTGTCGGGTGGGTTAATTTTGGTGCAATATTGAAATAATCTTGCATTCTCTATAACTCACTAAGTACTAGGCATCCACTCATGGTTAGAAAAGTATTGTACATAACTATAAATTTGGTTATAACTTAGATAATCTGAGTTCTAAAATTTATTAGTTAGATATCCATTCTATTTTATATATATTTCTGTCCTCTATACACTTCTAAAACCTTTGATTGATATGCACCCTTATTTTACTGACCTTCCTCAGGGAAAAAGTGCAAATCAGATGTTGGTTGCATTTGAACATAATAAAAAATTTTAAAACATTCTAGAATAAATATTTCAAACATTGATAGCCAGACCTTTGAAGTTATAAACAAATGAAAATATAAAAATGCATGTGTAAAACACATACAAAAATAATAATNGACCACCTGTCTAAAAGACCACTTTTGAAGGAACCGTGGGTGGTCGCCATAGACAGGTTTTACTGTATATGCTTATCATAGACGTTATGCTTATCGTTACACATTAAATAAAATTGCTATTTGAGAGGTTTTCTTCCATAAAATTAATCAAATGTAGACTAATTTCACTCGAATATTTCCAAAACACGTATAATTTGTTGGAAATGCTATGAATAAAATATTGTCGGAATACTTATCGAGTGTAGGCCCTACCTTGTTCGAAGACGCCATTGTTTAAGCTTGTTTTCGTCGCGGAGCGTCACATCGGACGGCGGACGCGTACGAAGCGTGTCACGTGACATTTGTCGGTGCTATTCGGTCACGTGACTACTCATCTCTGATGTGTTTCCTGATAACTTATTCTTTTTGCGAAGAATTCGCTGAACTTTAGAGACATCACGTGATAGATCAATTAGAAACGACTTATTATTATTATTGACTTTATGAAGCAACAAACGAAAAACCGCTCGCTAACGACAATAATTCTATCATGATATATATTATGATGATAAATATTAATCAGATGCAACATAAGATGTCTAATGTCTTGATAAAAATAAATATACAATTTTGTATAAGATATGAGAGATTAAATCATTTAAAAGTAGAGCAGAATTATTAGTTAATAGCAGATCCCACCACGCGTTGTTGTGGCTCAAAATGTATCTATCATAAATGTATAACACTTCGGAATCGGTAGGAGCAAACAAACATTACATTTTTATTTATATATATAGATAGAAGATGATCTGGTTTAGTTCATCCTCACAGAAAAGCAAACTTAGGTCGTCGTACTCGTAGCGTCATCTGTTGGACATAAAAGCCGTAACCCTAGATGACATTTTTTAATTTATATGAATGTTTAACGGAATAATATGCATCCTATGTCCACCCTGAAGTTCCATTGTAAATATTGGTGAAAGAATTTTTGAAATCGGATGAGTAGTTTCGGAGATTACCCCTACATACAAACATTACCTCTTTATAATATTAGTACTGTATAGATTTATCGCATTATCATATGTTATTATATGTTGATTTTAATCCATATTTAGAATGGAATGAAGTTTTAATATTTCTATTAATGATATCTCTAAAGTTCAGCGAATTCTTCGCAAAAAGAATAAGTTATCAGGAACACGTCAGAGATGAGTAGTCACGTGACCGAATAGCACCGACAAATGTCACGTGACACGCTTCGTACGCGTCCACCGTCCGATGTGACGCTCCGCGACGAAAACAAGCTTAAGCAATGGCGTCTTCGAACGGGGTACACTCGATAAGTATTCCGACAATACTGTATTTTGTTCATAGCATTCCAACAAATTATACCTGTTTTGGAGATATTCGAGTGAAATTAGTCTACATTTGATTAATTTTATGGAAGAAAACCTCTCAAATAGACGTACCCACTAAACAGTGTTTCTCAACCTCTAACGAATCCTCATCCCCTTCAACGTAGTATCGCCCCCTTCACTACAAAATTCCGATGCAGAGGAACAAGGCTAATGCCAAATTCGTACTGCATTGAATAGACTAGTGACTAATAATGTTATTTGTTTAATTATTGTACGATATAACGAATAAAATATCTAATTATTCTTAATATAATGTTTTACTATATCGCCCAGAAAATTGTTTTTCGCCCCCAAAATATAAATTATTACTAATCGCCCCCNTAAAAAAAATTTTAATTATAAACTAGAATATGAAAAAACTTCTGTAATGATAACAAAATGGGAAAAATTTCTTATATAGGAAACTAGAGTTGACAACTTGTAAAAATTTGATTTAACTGAATACTGTGTTTTGAGAATCAAAGAAATCAGGAAAAAATGAAATTAATCTATTATAGAAGCTACTCCTCTAGTTAACCTTTCAACAGTGGGATAGTCAGGTATGGTGCTATCCCAAGTAGTGGAGAATAAACATGGGAAATTTTTAAAGTATTTTTCTGTGTTTTTTTTCTCATTACCGTTTTGGAAAAAGATTTTGTAAGCAGTTATGTCTAGTAAAGAAAAGTCTTTTTTTATTGTTACATAATTCATTTTTTAGGTGAATTTTTTTCACAGTAGTTTTTGGTGATACCCCCAAAAGAATTTAACAGATATATCCGTCCCTCACTGCTGAGTGGTTAATATTCCATTTCATCTGTTCCTTTCACCCTAAAAATACTCTCTCATGTGTCTTTGTGATATGCAATAGAATAAGATCTGAAAATTGGTATTGCCTAATCTTCAGATCCCAATTCTGCTGTTTTATAAATATTTACCAAATTATTCTCAAATTAGATAATTAATTTTTTCTTCTTCCTTAAAAAATCATTATATTCTTCTTAAAATTAAAATATTAATATTGAACTAAATGTTATTCTAATGTTAATNCATTAATTATATTTTTTAGATAAATATGTAAATAGGATTTTGTCATTTGAAAAAGTGGCAAAATCCTATTTATATAGTAAAAAAATATATAAGTTTAAAAAAAATAATATTATACTCATGTATATTGAAAATTAAAAAAAATTATAAAAATTAAAAGCTTAACAGTTGAATAAAATTCATATATAAACTAATACAAAAGTCAATAAAACTCTTTATTGAAGTTGCTGTCTAAGTCTTAGTTTTCTGATTTTTCTACTTATCAAACTTTTAGACAGTGTGACATTAATTCAGTATGAAAACAATTCTTTGTCACCAAAATAACTTTTTACAATTTAACCTATCATTCTTCATTGAAGTGGTCTTCAAATGTAATATTTCATTTCATTAATAATTTTTTAAAATTTAGTTGTTAAACTCCATATAAGCAATATGTGTTTTTTCGTACGGCATGTAGAATATCTTGTATAGTATCCTCCGATCTTAGGGCTGCAATTTGAGCAGCAACATGTATTGCCATTCCAGGGTGAGACCCTTTCACACTTTTAATAGTCTGTAAATAAAACAAAAATAATATAATTAATATTTCCCTTTTTATTTCCCCCCCTTTTTTTTTTATTTCTCAAAAAGACACTGTGGCCAGGTTGGCCTTTTACAAGCATCTTAAAGCAAAAACCAACAAAACCAAAGAGTTTCCTAAATAACATTATATAAGTATTTTTTCATCTAAAAACAATCAATTTAGAACAATACCAACAACATTTACTCTTGATAAATATTTTCAAGCCAATCTTTTTTCCATCTCTTCCATTTACCAGCACATATTATTCATAACAGGACTGCATTAAGTCCCAATTATTCATCCATTTGGCTTATCTCACTGAAGATCAAAGTTTTTATAATAAATCTATATACTACTAAAAGTCTGAAATTGTTTGGTTGGTTATAATTAAATACAAAAAAAATGGCACAAAATATTACCAATTTTTAAAGAATCCTATACTCCAAATGTGAACAGAAACAAAATAAAATAAATTTTGTTAAAATTGGGTGACAGATTACTGAGTTATCACTGTTTTTTTCTACTAACGATGTCATTCTGTGGGACGTCACTTTCTATAGTTGCCAATTACTGTCTTATAACTATACTTAAATTGTCGGGTGGGTTAATTTTGGTGCAATATTGAAATAATCTTGCATTCTCTATAACTCACTAAGTACTAGGCATCCACTCATGGTTAGAAAAGTATTGTACATAACTATAAATTTGGTTATAACTTAGATAATCTGAGTTCTAAAATTTATTAGTTAGATATCCATTCTATTTTATATATATTTCTGTCCTCTATACACTTCTAAAACCTTTGATTGATATGCACCCTTATTTTACTGACCTTCCTCAGGGAAAAAGTGCAAATCAGATGTTGGTTGCATTTGAACATAATAAAAAATTTTAAAACATTCTAGAATAAATATTTCAAACATTGATAGCCAGACCTTTGAAGTTATAAACAAATGAAAATATAAAAATGCATGTGTAAAACACATACAAAAATAATAATAATTGAGTAGAGCCCTTCATAAGTCAAAAAGCATTTTGCCTGTGATTGAAGTTCAAAGCAACCCTGCAAATATTTGCCTTATCTAGTTGTACTGTACATATTTGCAAAAAATCATGTTTAATGGTTGCAGGAACCATTAAACATGAATTTTTGCAAATATGTACAGTACAACTAGACAAGGCAAATATCTTGACACAACCAAAATTTTGAAATTTAACCCATGGGCTGAGATATTCCAGACCAAATTTCTCCATGTAAATGCTATTGGTAGGTTGCCAGTTGTAAGCTCAATACACACTACATGTCAATCAAGTTTACAAGTGCTGTCAATTTACATTGTTTAGATCAAAATAAAACATTGTGCATGTTAAATGCCCTTTGATCTCTACAACAATGTCGTGACAAAATTAACTTTGTAACTGGTCACTGGAACCAGTAGGCTACAGACTGCACATATGTGTTTCATATGTTTCTTGATGTTTTTGTTGGCTATGATGATATACATGCAAATTTCCCGTACCTGTGAGTTTTAAATTGCTGTAGACAGAACATTACAAGCATATTGTTTTTTTGTGCCAAGCTGAAACAGAAAAATCTACACCATGGAGCTCAGTTTCTTTTTCCTAGAAAATATCTAGTAGTTGAGTATGAGTGCTACCTCCCAATGTGCATGTTACATGTTCATATAGTATCAGTCAGTATATATTTCAAAAATGGCTCTCCATCTCATGTTATACCATCGACTTTCAGACCATGATCCTGCAAGATGAGATGAATCTTAGGTTTATTTCAAGAGGAAATCTATGAAACAAGATATACAGAGGAGTTATGCATCTATAAAATGCTACTAGCTCGTACTATTTATTACAGTATCTGCTATTTTTTATAAACTTTTAGTAGTAAGTGATCCAATGGATCAGGGGTGGTCTAGTGAAAACTAAGAGAATCATAATCAGATTCAAATCCTAATCTTTTGCAATAAGATAAGCATTTTTTGTGCAGCAAATCAGCTAACAGACATAAAATGATTGTTACGTGTAAATATTTTTTGTATTTATTAAGACTATTTATAAAACTAGATCATGGAATGCATTGTAAGAGATATACTGTATAATAAAAGGAAAAAGTACATTGCAAAGGAAGAATTTTGAAAAGAAGACAGTAATGCAAAAATGCTTCTGTAATTATGCAGATGTGTAAACATTGACAATCTTATTTTGAAATTTTCTTTATGGATAAAAATTCTTATTGTAATAATCAAACAGTTTGAAGCAAATGACAAACTTCTCAGTCTTTTTAGTTGTTTTTATTNAACATTACTGTTTGCATTAATTATAAATTCATTACTCACATGACATACGCCACCATCATATTGTCTGGATATTATTTTGGAAAGGATACTTATATGTCTGAATATTATTAGATATAAAAATGTCATGTATCTTGCCGAAATGTGACAATATTTCTTCTTTTTTCTGATATTCACTTAAACACAAACTACATTTAAATATATTTTAAAACTCTATCCTTGTTATAGCCTTTTTATGCCTCACTCTCATATGTTTAAGTAAACTTTGCTTATATTTGTATTTTAAGTGGCATATACTGTTTTCCATTTTAACGAAGACTGAACTGAACAAACAAGACCAACGTGTAATTACGATCCGAAAATGACATCCAGTTCCCGCGACTAGCGCTGTTCGCTGTAGCGACATAATTTAGAACTAAAATTTACCAGAGAACATCGACTTTCAAGGTCAAACGGTTGTAAACACTACTGCAGACGTATTGTTGCAGTTTTTTTTTTATATGAAAAAAATAATATCGCTAAATACAGTAGACCCCCCCTATAACGCTTAGATACGTTCCACGTTATTCGAATTTTACGTTGTAGGAATCATTAAATACATGAGCCAATCGCAGCCCGACACGTGTGAAGTTTACGGACTAAGGCTGTTTGAAAGGTTTTCTTCTATAAAATTAACCGATTCTAGACTAATTCCACTCAACATTTCCAAAACACGTCTAATTTTTTGGGAATAATCCGTATAAACTATGCTATAAACAAAAAATTATAGGATTACTTACCGAGTGTGCACCGTTCGACTACGCC